AGAAAGAAGCTTATATACTCCACTGGAGTTTACACTTAGAATTTCATGTAGTAGCTTCATTTCAAAAACTAACCGAAATTAACAAACAAAACTAAAATTAAAACTATCCCTTATCAAAATACGCGATACATACGCGCGACTATAGCGCGTCTGCGGCGCGGACATAGTATAGACATCTGTCTACACTCTGTCACTGTCGACGACCACTTTCACCTCCATTACTTGTACAAGTATGTCTGTGCTTAAAGCTGTGCGTAAAGGTGGTGAGAAACCGGTAATTAGTGATAATTCTTTAGTGTATAAGCACGAAACTCTTAAATCTATACTTTTTAAAAGTAAGCTGCCCGTTACTTAACACCTTGTACGTCAATTAACACATACCCACTTACTTTAAGGTTAGCTTATTTGGATAAGTTTACAATGGGTAATACGCCTAACGACGCGGTATTTCATTTGCCTTAATATTAATGCATATGTGGTCCCATTAAGTATCAATAATATTGAATTATAACGATTTCAAGTAAGCGTGGCCATCCACATGATTTGCGGAACGCGACGCAGTGGCGATCAACGCAAAAGCGGTGTAACCCAAATTTAGATTTTTTACCGACGTCAAAAAAAGGAAAAGGTTCTCAATTCGAATGAATTTTTTGTATGTATGTTACGCGATAACTCCCGGCATTTGTGAACCGATTTTGATGATCCTTTTTTTTGTTGGAACGAAGGTGCCTCAGTAGTAGTCCCATTTAAATTTGAATAAAATATTCCACCTCTAATGGTGACAAACTAGTGGATGAACCTGGTTTCTTGTAGTTTCCGGTAACATATTTCAATAGAACTTGGCAAATAGATGTTAATTCCACGAACTGTTGAGGTCGGTTTTTTAAGTAAGGGCACCGAGATTATTTTTCGACAAATATTACTGCTTAGAATAATAACGCACAGAAACCTAGCCCGCACACGCTAAGTGAGGCAAATTGAAGCGCTCCCAATGGGCCTACACGAGCGGGCGGGCCTTCAGTGCTCAAGGTCAACTTGCACCGCGAACAGCTCAAGAATTTTAGCTAAAAATGACTAAATGTGCGGTAAATGGGTGTACAAATACGTCAGACAAACATAAAATAGATACTAGCATCACATTCCACAAGGAAGTAACGCGTTTCAACTTGTATTTATGTATAAATATTCACTAAAACCGAAAATTAACCTAGTACTAAAACTAGCCTACATGAATTTGATTTTTGCCGCACTTGTGACAGTTCGTTTGATATGAAACTATCATTCTATGCGTTATTATTCTAAGTATTACTGTAAATGATGGTAAAGTACATAATTATTTCATATTTGGATGATAATTTCATGTATAACAAAAAAATTATATATTTGCATTTCATGGCGTTACACTGCGTTTGCGCTAATGCCTCAATGATATTCCTTAAAATTTAGCTTGAATAAACTTGGTACAATAGTCACGAACCAATTATGATGGGATACGACCAGTAAATTCGAGGACCGATGTTAAACATTTGACACACCACAACATTTAAATCCGTGTAGCAATGTCATGATAATAACTGAAATCGAAGCTGTGGTAGCATGGTAGGTAGGTAGGTAACGCTTTTCAACCTCTTGAGTTTTTCGAAATTCACGTGCCAAATTTAATTTGAAATTTTCCATTACTGAAGGAAAACATCGATAGGAAACCTACACACATTTGCACAGTAATTTAATGATGCGTGTGAAGTTTCCAAACAGACAGCCTAAATGCTTAGATTTTTTATCTAAGCATTTAGTCGTCATTTGTCGCCATCAAAGATCTTAGGTTCAAAATGAGAAACACAAGTTTTAAGAGTGTCCCGTGCCCTCGCTCGGTGTGTATCACGCTTTAATGTTGACGTCATAAAATGCCTGATGCCTAACAATAAAACTTATATCTTGGGTAGTTATTAATTCCTGATGCGAGGACGTGCCGTTTATGGGAGCGGATACCATATAGAATGTTATTTCGAGATCCATTTTTTTTTCTATTGCAATCTATAACTATTTTTAATGTAACTTAAATTAAATGCCATTGTAACTTACCTGCTATAAGATCTGTAATTAATCATATAAAGTTCTGCGAAATACAACTTTAGAATTAGGTACATATATTTAAGTATCATTAATTGAAGCATAACTTACAAATATGCCTTGAGTATTTTTATTCCGAAACATACGTCTCTGAAATGAAACTATTTTTTCAACCGTGACGTCAAGGTTTCGGGACCTGTAAAGGGTCCGAAACGTTAGTTTATTTGAAAACACAAATATACTTGTCCGAAATACTTGTGTGTACCGAATATACTTGTTTATCCGGAAAAATAGTTTCATTTCCTATGTATAACAATCGCGAAAACCTAATACGTCTCTTTTCATTCTTCATATTCTAAAAAAAATATATTTTAACAATCTGGTTTGACGTCACAAGGACGATAAAAACAATTAATAAGGTACCTCTCTGAATGAAGAACTCAACTTCTCACGGCAGAAAAGTCGTTAAAAGCCAAAAATAAAGATGTTCAAGAAGCCTATAGAAAAATTCATAAGGTCTGCTGGTTTATTCCTTGGCTTGATTGGCGGAGCATCTGACACGGATTGCCTAAGGCTGATGGTTCGAATTCAACCGGATCGAATGAATTTTTATAAATGTTCGATCTTTGTTATTAATAATTATAACAAAATAGGCATTATTTAGGTGAATGTGCATGCCATCGTCAACGTTATCGTCATTTTCCATCAGGAAAGGCGGAGGTCAAATGACTTTTAATTAAAAAAAGCTTTTCAAAACCGCAACGCAGTAAAGCTCATATTACTTTTGGCGGCAGAAATATGTATAACTTCTCTAAATGAAGTCTTTTAGAAGGTGCTCTACTGTTACTATTTGAAGTTCTGTTCTGATGTTAATAATTTATTTTTGTTCAAATTCGAAGTTAAGTTCTAGTCACGGTGGGATGCCATTTACAATCGATACGAAATGAAGCGATAACAACCATTGACTTACAATTATATGGACGTCGGGTCCGCGCTAAAAAGTGTACGAACTTATAGGGCGTTAAAATCGTATACAGAGCGTCATTCACGCTTTAGTCTTCGTTTGTTTCTTCTGACAGCGAAGCAAGCAAAATTAGAGAGTACTGCGATGATATTACAATTTAAATTCAACGTTTTAACTTTTTCATATTCCTTTACATGTCACTACGTTTAAATAGGTTGACTTGGGACATTTTTTTCGTGGTTTTTGTATTAGACCCGTCGTCCATTTATTTGTAAGTCAATGATAACAACTTATAATAATAGTGTTTTTTCTATTAATACACAGTCGATGAGTAGCTATTGTCTTACCTATTACCTTATGAGTAAATAACACAGAAATCGCATGCACCATGCACTTTCACAAGCAATAAAATTTAAGGAATTTGGAATGCTGTCATAACAGGAATCATATTTGTAAAGATTTTTTCTCAAACATGCTCGGAAGTGTTTATATTACTTTTAAAAAAGAACCCACAAAGTTTAGCATTGGAGCGTGCAAATGCGGCCAAGGCCGGCAAAATAAGTATCCATTGTCTCCCTTTATTAAAATATACTATGGAATTATTTAAATAGACTAAAGAAAAACTGTAATACAGCCAACTGCTCACTAGCATCAGTGTAATTGCGAGAGTTAAAAAACATTGTCTATGGTGTTACTAATTTTGCATTTAAATATGGTGCATGAATATACCTGCAACATATTCTAAAGAAAATGGCGACAAAATAAACGAAAGTCTTTTAAAGTTCATTTTCCTTTTTTAAACTTTTTGTATTTTTTACATTTTCTTCGTGGAAATGAGTTCTAGTGAGATGAATGAAAATGCAACATGAACTGTAGTGTATGTGCGCCGCTTAATGTAAAATAAGGAGCAAAATTTTGTCATGGTAAAATTGTCTTACTTTTTCTATTATAAATACTTCATTCTTTCATTACTTCATTCTTTAGCCATTTATTATTTCTTCGCTTTGTTTGAGAAAAACTCTATTATATTTGGTCGAGAACGGAGATTGCCTGACTCGTATAATACATCTGCAATTATGTACTAAAAACGAAGTCCCTTCCACGTACACTATTTCCTAATGAACTTACAGGCCCCTGGGGGCCTACCACAACCTCTTCAAACCATGTTACTTTAACCTTACATTGACTTTTCGCACCATAACGCGCTTAAGGTAAGCTTATTATAATGTTACAAATATGATGTTTTATTGTCAGCTTTGTGACTATTCATTCACTCAGTTCGTACTATGACGCGACTTTAACATTAAAGTAATATTGCTCTTATGTCAAATTTAGCAATGTTAAAATAGTTACTCGGATGCAATGGAAACAATATTATTTTTAGTTTTATTGTCTTAATATTGATTTGTAATGATTAAAAGTTAAGGTGAACTTATTTATTTACATTAATCTTTATTTATTATATTTGTTTATTTTTTCTTTAGTAGGAAATAATTTCTCGTGAAATAAAAATACGCGATGTTTATTTCGTAAAATTGTGACTAAAATATGGCTGTAACTAAAATGTGACTATAATGTGAGTAAAACTGAAACTAACAGTTGATAGTAGACTATAATTCCGAATTCACAACGTGACAATCAAGACTCAGGTTGTTTTATTCATTTTTCTTCATGAAAATGCGGGAAAATAATTGAAAACAACAAATTTTAATAGATTTCATTATTACATACTTTTCGTTTTTTGGCAGTTAAAATTCTCTGAATGTAAATAATATTAAGTACTTAACATTATACTACGATAGGACGATTCGGAACATCAAAAAAGAAAGAGATGGCATTATACAGTTCATATAGCGTTATTTCTTTCCTATTTTCAGCAGATAAGGAATAGACAATATTGGGAAATCATTTATTGTTTCAGTCACTTTAGCAATAATACATTACTTGGTTGACAGGTTTGTCATGGTACGAATATAAGTAATATTATAATAAGCTTACTTTAATCTTACTTTGAAATAATATTGTTTTTTGAAAGGTTATGATAGGCCTCCAGTACTGGTGGTTTAATCATCAAGGAAACGTTATAGACTATCTACCTATAAATAATCCAAGCAACACGAACATCTATCTAATTTTGCTACTCGTCTAACTTTTATAAGTCTACAAACGACAATGGACTTCCACTCTTACAACTTTGCTGTCACGGAGACATGCTTTCTTTTCGGAATCGAACCCAGGTCGCTAGTTGAGAAAAGCGTTGACCAAATTCAGTTATTGTTTTTGATAGAGCTCATTCGTATGTCGTCTCGGCTGGATACGGTGCGGGAAGACGCGGTCTGTGTGCGGGACATTGGGCCACCACGCAACTGCAAGTATCTGAAATGAGAAATAAGCTATAATAAAACAGCATTTATTCAGTTTAACAAATTTCAGTCTTCAACTCATGATGTAAATCGTTCTAAACGTGCAGTCTGTGGGTCAGTTACACGCGGAGGGCATATAGCGCTCTGAGGATGCAATACATTAATGAATTCAGGGTGATGACGGGGCTGGGGCGACGCTGCAGTGCGTTCGACATTCTGAGAAACGCAAATGGATAGCTTCCTGCTACCATGCAAAAGCGCTGTGCTCCGCATGCGGGCTAGCCCTAAAGGTCGGGTCACACAGACACGGTACAGCGGGAAAAGCGGTCTGGGCCAAACCTGCAAGTTGCGTATCGGGGCTAGTACACAGCAGTCTACGCGTAGTTCGCGGCGGAACAGCGCGCGGCGCAAAAGCGGCGGGTGTGACACGAAAAGCAGCAACATTTCATATTCTACACAGATTTTAAAAAAGCACTATGGTGTCACTGTCGGATAGCGATCTAGAAATAATTTCTGCCTTTGTTAGCGTTACGGCAGCAACGCAAAAGAAATTTCGGACGAATTCATATTGAAACTTAATAACATACACACACAAGAGTTATAAAAAAAATACAACGTGCCAACCCTGTAAAATCTCACTCCCGAACCGTACTCCGTCGCAACCGCTCTATATGGACTGTTACATAGAACTCAGCTCAATGCAATGAAAGATTGCGCCTGCACGCGCCCCGCGTTCGCCCCGAGTTCGCCCCGGCCCCGGCCCACGCCTGTTTGTCGCGCCGCCCCCGCGAGCTCGCGAGCCTACGTGCACATTATCAATAAATATGTGTTATTAACTATTAGTAACACCAAGTTATTAAAAATTATAATTGTATACAGACAAATATGGATTATTTTTTATTTCAAATAAATTATTATTCGATATATATTACTCTCGCCTCTCCCACACCCCAAATGATTATTTTTGAATTTTGAAGATGAGAAGTATTTCCCTGCAACGGTAATAAATAACTATTATGATTATTATTAACGTGTAGAATAGGTGAGTGACAATGGTAACGCTGCGAGAAGTCAAAATAAGTGTATTCATCGACAACGAAAAAGAGTAGAACGTTCAACTCTGGGTGCACCACCGGTGGTGCATGGGCAACTCGACCTGACCACTTGATTTTTAATATTACTAAGAAATCCAAACCGAGCACTATTTGAAAAAAGAACTGGAAATTTAGAAGAATTAGAACATATATCTAACAAAACTTTTGGTTTATGGGTCGATGATGCATCACCGGTGGTTTATTTCCAGTAGTTCCTTGAACTTAGTTCGGTTTAAATCTGAGCGCGAAGTTTGCTACTGTTACATTATTTCATTTCAGTTGTGTGTAGATAGAATGTCAATGGCAGGATTTATACGTTTGGTATTTTGCTAAAAGTTTAAAGTACTAGCTTGTCAGTGGATAGGCATCGAATTACTATTCAACAGCCATTGTAATTTTTTTGATATTCCGCTCTTCAATGGCGCAGTCTATTAGTTATTTCACGTGTCTTCCGAAGGTTTTTACTTACAATTTAAGTGCTTTTATCGATTATCGAGTTTTATAATCAAAAAATACTTTTAATTTGAAGACTGAATATTAAGATATGTATAGTAATATGTATGGCAGTTTTAGTAAGGCAACATCAAGTATCATTGGGCAACATCGATAGTTAATGAATGAATACCATTACTGCCATTCCGCTTACACTCTATTTAGGCTGAAGTGCTATTGTAACTAGATTTTAGCAGAATAACAAATAGTATCAAAATTGCAATATTGTGGAGTCCCAAAGGAATTATAATGACTAATGATATCTGTTAAGAAAAACACGTCTGTCCGGTGGCAGCCATTTAATCACTGA